ATGAAAATAATGTAATATACATAATAGAAATACGCAATGGCCACTAGCCTTTGTCAGTTGATTTCAGGAAATTGGTACGTACTTTAGAGAGTGAATGTTACAATGTTCGGGTGTCGGAGGAACCCCGGGGAATCCTCTCTAGTTTAGGCTTTTGCGCCCGGACATTATGTGTGAGAATCGTGGAGTGGTTGTTTGCGAGAATGCGTTTTGTAATTTTTTAAATATAGCGTTAGGTAGGTAGGTAACTTAACTTTCTGGTATGTGTGTTGTAAGTAGGTAGGGTCAGGATAGAGCTGTTACAGATTTTATTTCTGTGGCAGACCTATTCCTGTAGTTCGATTTTAAGAGTTGGAAAGTTAGCCGATACAAGCGGATTGTACCGTTTGTTTTGGTTTTAGTTTCGACTCTTGGAATCGCGCGACTTTACAGTCGCTCTTCGCGGTCGTGTTCGATCGCGGTAAGTTCCTCGAAACGCTCGTCCCGCTCGAGTTTCTCCACACCTGTTCTGATAGCGATTCCTAGAATTGTTAGAGGACTGTGTATTGCACGGAATCTCGAGCCTAGGTTTAAGTTTCAGGCTTGGGCAGGACCGTCCGAAGAAAGAAAAGGCAATGTGCCGAAGAGGCCTTGACAAACTGTCGCAAGAATGGGCTACAACAAATGGCAATTCATTTTCATCTTCGGATGAGAATGGAGAGTCATTCACTGTTACTATTTTTGTCACTGAATTCACCTGTAATTGTAGAGTATTTAGTATTATTTCACATTAATCGCGTTTGCTTCTAGGATAGTGTTGCGACTAATATAAATATATTATAATCACTGTTAGAGTTGCGAACGATAAATATTTTCGTGTTTTTTTTTCAGAGTATTGTCGCGAATAAGAATTAATATCGGTTTGCTATTATCCATTTAGAGTTGCGAACGATTTTTCGTGTTTGCTTTTCAGGGTAGCGTTGCGTGTAAACATTAATTCCGGTTTGTTGTAGTGTTGCGAAATATGAATACTGATCGCGTTGCAAGTTGCAAATAATATGAATTTAATCGCGATTGTTTTTAGTGTTGCGATTATTTTTTCGCGTTCGCTTTTCAGGGTAGGGCCCAGGAACCACGAAGCAGCTGAATCAGGTACATCAGCCTCGATCGATTAAAATTAATCGATTGGTGCTCAATTCTGGACCGTACATCTTTCATTTCGTTAAAAAACAAAAGATTTCCTGTAATTGCATTTCCTACCATAATCAGCGCTATGATTCGTTTCTATAGCCTGTTGGTAATGTTGCGAGTGACACTGAAATGGTTTTCGAGCGACCTCCTCGCTTAAAGAACGGTGATCTTAGGAACTATTGTCAATTGAACTACTGAAATCGGTAAAGTTTATAAAAGCAAGTTTTTTTTACTTACGTGATGCACAGGGTTGCTATTATTAACAATTGTATTCGATATTTAAAAAAATCTATTTTAAATTCGCAGTCATTACCTCGATGTTTGTTTTAATCACATAAAAGTTAATCCGACGATGCGGAAAAGTGCGTCAGAGCCCTTCGTTTTGCAATTCTTATCCTTGCTTTGAACATTAAGGCGACTTGACAACCTTCTCAAATACTGTCTGGTCTGTGCTCTAAATGGGTGTCATCGCGTAAAGCTTCACAGAAGAGATTACCCAAATTGCCGCTTCGATCGACGTAATCCGAGTAATTTTCCTTTCAGTGGCCACGGCAACTTAGCTTTTTACCTTCGACCTCGCTTTCCGTAAACGTTCCTCCGACACGGCCATCTTCCGTTTCGACCCAGTACCTCCTTCTGTCCACTTTGTGCCATTAGGTGTAATTCTGTTGAGAGACGGTCCATACTTCGAGTTACAGACATTTCTTTCACTACGTTGCAAATTCTCTCTTTTACTATTTCACGGAGTTATCTCCATCAGTTCCTGAAATTGCTAGCTCGAGCTTTAGAATTATCTCCGACACACGACCGTCGATCCATCAGGTTACTAATGAGTTACCCGAGCAGAAAAGTATATACGATCCTATCGTAAGCCCATAGATTATAAAACCAAACCTCGAATCCACCAAGGATGATTTGTCTCGAGTCAGTGACACGGCAAAAGGAATTATTGTAGATTCAGTCGAGAACGTCCGACGATGTCGAGCCACGTAAACGGAAGACGTTCCGTTTCCTTCGTTTCTTCTTCGTCTTCCAACTCGCCGCGCGCGTGTACTTTTCATTGCACGTCATCTAAGTTATTATTCCGGTATGGCGGCGTTCTCTCTCCTTCCGGCCCTGCACCTTGTGTTTTGATATCAGCGAGAGTCTGTCCCTTTCCGCGGCTGCTTCGTTAGTTTCGCCCGGCGTTTGATTACGCGGCGTAGCCGGAAGGCCCAATGTTTAATTTCTTTCTTTCTCTTTGCCCGGCCGCGGGTCTCGGCGCGGATGAATGGCAGTATAAGAAATAGGCAAGGTAGGTTTGCACAGGCGAGCGTAGCGCGAGAAAGCACGCGACCGACCGTCGACACAAGTACGAACGCACACCGGGACCCGGGGAACGGTGTTGGTCTTTTGTGATTCCTTTTCCGTGGCTTTTTAGTTTTACGGCCGAGCTCTCCTTCTGTGTCCATTTTCCGCCTACGGTTAAATAATGCGCGCACGATGCCGCAAAGAACGAAGGCCCGCGATACCCCTCGCCATTTGAGTCCCACGTAACGCGTCAACGATCGGCCGTTTTCGAAATATCGATGATCATCGATCCGTTATCATTGCAATCGTTTGAAAAGATTCTCCTCCTCGAAGAGTTCATGAATTTAATTTGAATTGAGAATTATTTCTTGGACGACATTCAATCAAATTTTCAATCAAAGCAACTGTACATTTAGTAGCAATTCGAGAAAATGTAAAGCAAATGTACGTACTCAATATCACGGAACAAGATACAATCGCGAAGCAATGCATTTCTTTAATTTGCGTAGTAATATACATATCGAAGCGAATGTATTACATAATGCCAATATTTTCATGTAATTAATGTTTACGGGAATTCACTGAAAGGAAACTCCAGGAAGGAACCCTAGCCTGTAATTTCGCATTGAGAAGCAACATTTATAAAAGGAGATTTCCTCGAACGATGAAAGCAATATTGAAACGTATACTTTATTCGATTTTACCTGGACATAAATGTAACTTTTAGAATCAGCTTGCTTCATTAATATTATAAAACCTATTCTTTTATTCTGTAAGAAATCATTCTTCACCACGGTGAATCAGTTAATTATCGATTCAGCTATTACCGACTCGGTTATTTTACCACAGACGACGTACACGTGTAGATCTTACACCTTATGAACTTTCGTGGTCCAATCTAACTTCTATACCGACAGGAAAATATTTCGGCGAAAAAAAAATTTCACATCGTTCTGAAAAAATTATTTTTAGTTACAGGGGTCGATTACAATTATTTTTGGTGAATAGACATACCCCCGAAATCCTACGCAGTTTCGAGAAAAAAATTCTTTACCGAAAATATACTGTATGGCCAGGAATGTTTGCCCGAAATTTCATGCGTATGTTTAAAAAATCATAACTTTCGGACGGTCTGAAGGATTTTAATACTATTCGTATACCTCAGGCTGTTGTCGATTCTTTCGTACCGGCGGAGCTTACATAAACGAATCGATGTCTCGAACGTCGCGGCTAAACAGCAGAAATCAAGTAAAATTGTCGAGTGGAAAGCGGAACGGACGCGTTCGCGGGAATGTAACGTTCCCCGGTAAATAAGTAATGCCGCAAGTAGAGTGCACCGATGGAGTTTTATCTCAGTCGCGGAAAGGAAGAAAAAGCAAGTCGAGTAGCGCCCGTTGAAACCGTAGCGATAGTCGGGCGTAGTTCGGTAAAGAATACAAATAGTTCTATTATTTCGCGAACAAAGACCGGCTCGGTATGAGATACGTATCTGGAACGAGCCTTATCAAAAATAAAAGCCGCCTGCCGGCTTCAAAGGGACGCGGGATAGTAAGGAACTAGGAAAAGAATGATACTGTGTAGAGTTCCTAGTAGCCACTTCGGGATATTAATGGGCTTCGTATTCTGTTCGTGGAATGGAATTTTTACTTCGGGAAACCAATTATCAGGAGAATATTATAGAGCCATGGCAGTATACAGAGACGCGGGAACAATTTGTTGCCAAATTGTATGGACTGTTCTCGTTAGTAGAGAACAAGAGAGGTTTTATTGAATCGCTGACTACCATTGTCACTTGGTGAATGCGTGAATTTTTAAATCAGAGTCGTTAAAAATATTATAAAATAATAAATACACCATTGAAAGGCAGAACTGTAGGTTCGGAGTAGCGTACGAGGTATACAATGAAGTTGTTGCCGTTAATACGATCAGTACTTAATAATAGAGTATAAAAGATGTAAATGAAGCATGAATCTAAAAATTATACATTCCTGACGAGGGGATCTCATGTCTTAGCGTAGTTAACTATAAGTCTCTGCAGGTTGAGACTAGCATGTGAGTAAGTAGTTTCCATTTTTAGCGACAGTATTTACTAGCAGAAAACGAAAAAGATTTATTAAATATCGATTTGAAAATTACTCGCTTCGTACACCGTGAACTTAGGACTGAAAGGACTACTGAATAATAAACACATTTTAGTGCATTGACTTTTAATGACTAGTGATCGAATACAAATATTAAATAATTTTTGTTAAACTAATAAAATTGGCTAAATACGTAATTAAACGTCGTTTACGTAAAAAATAAATAATATTGATTGTTCTCTAAAACAAACAACTTTACAGCATTTCTATTTAATTTCAATTATTGTATTTTAAAATTCCAATCCACGTTACAGATTCTAGGTCAGTTTCGAGCATTAAATATAGGCATCAGAATGCGTTAGGTTGATCTAGAAATAAATGTAATTAAATGGTACTTTATCATACAGATTTATTTGCTCATATGGTCATAAGTATATAATAATTGTAATCTAAAACTCTGCGTATAAATATTATCGGCTCGCGGGCCGCCGCCAGGCTGGTAGAATTAGCGTCGTTACACGGTGCCGGTTTTGTGAATTCATAGATGTTGCCGAAATTATTGTGATTACGGACAGTAGCAATTGGTACAGCGACAATTCACGAACGACTCGTCGGGATAGTTTTGTATCGAATATCTACATGCTGGCGCCGAGTCCCCATTCTCTGGTCGCGTTTTGTATGTGAAGATCCAACGGAAGGTTTACATCGACGTTCTTGTGCTTGTAATCGTTGAGAAAATACGAGGGTCCTTCTATGTTAGCTGAAAATTCCTTCGGTAACTCTTTGCTTCGTGGTTCCAGGTCGAATCCTGATTCCGGGTATTTCAATAGACTGAAACGAACGAACGTCGATGTGAGCATCGTGAAATATAATTTATAACACAAACGTGTCAACGAATATCGAGGCGACCAGGTCGTTATTTGTTTTATCGTCGGTTATTAAAATAATACGTTCGTTTGCTTACACGTGTGTCGTCGGGCTAACGTGGATACGAAGTGGTTCGCTCAAGGATTCGAATTTGTTCGCTAAAGTAACATTGTGCCCGAAAAGACAGTACCTCGGCATCTTCTTTCCAACAACCCCTGCCAGCACCATTCCAGTATGAATGCCGATGCGCATCTAATAAAATAATATACAATAAACGAAAGATGCAATCGACGCTCTCAATCTTCCGGATAAGATTTATTTGTCAGTTGTTCGAGATAATTTGAATTCAATATAAATGCTTCCCTACCCTTATTGGTTTACCCTTGTGAGTCAAATGATTCGAGCATGCTTGTATCATCTTCAGGGCCATCCATGCAATCTGTTGTGCATGCGTGTAGGTATCGCGATGTAGGCCACACGCAACACAATAGGCATCTCCGATTGTTTCCACCTGTAATTTTTATTTTGATTAACAAATAGTGTTGCAACCCGTTAACGAGCGCAGAGCATATTTTCGTTTATAGTACCTTGTAAACGTCCAATTGACCGCAGAACGAGTCGAATTGTTCGTAAAGATTTTGAAGCATGTTGATGACCATCATCGGTGTCGCGGTGGAGCAAATCTCCGTGAAGCCGACGATGTCGCTGAAAAGCATCGTCACTTCAGGGTAGGTTTTCGCCTCGATACTTTCTCCTGAAAGAATAAATACGTGTTACTTTACAAAATCTAATAACTAAAATTCAAGATAGAGAATTGAATCCTAGAATCGAATTTAAAATGCTTACCCAGCCACAAGCGTTTTGCTATATCTGGAGGGAATATAAGATGAAGCAAGCTGACATTCTTTTCTCGTTCTGCGGACACGGCGAGGTTTGCTTCCTCTATGGAGCTTTTTAGTTTGTCCATTCGCCTCCTTAGACCATCCTGCATCAAGAAATATTTTAATCAGTACATGTAAAAGGGATTTAAAACGAAATAACTCGTAGAAATGATCGTAGGTATTGAGAATATTCGAATTAGCCCGCCGTATTCAATGATAGTGCCATCTGAAATGCTGGATCCGTCAGCTGGCGCCCTCTGCGCTACAAAAACAAGTCTCGGAAACAAATATCTTTTTTAAAATATACGATTGAAAATGTCGATGAATATTGCAATACGGTCGTTAAAATTTTTCGCTATCGAATTTTTCTGGAAAGATTAATCCGCGCAATTAGAATCTTCGTCGCATCGATCGTATACGTCGAATACATCATCGAACGAACTGCACTGATATGCAACTCGTATGAATTTCATAAACATAAATGTAACGATACTCTAATGGGATGCAAATTTTATTATACCTGGGCTCTGGCTTGTTCTCCCACTAATATCACGTCTCTCGTAGCGTCGTGTAATGGAATATCGGATATAAAAAGTCCTCTGCCAGTCAGCCCTTCCAGACCGTTCAGGAATGGCGAGCTCACGAATAGGATGGAATCCGATTCGGGACAATGGATCATTTGACCTTTCATCTCTAAGCCCTGGAATGATTGAAATCCTATCAGTATAAAAATTCAGAAAACGTCGTCCAATAAGGATAATGTATATGCTATTCGAGCGGGGATCTCAAACAAGGGTTTCGAAAGTACATCCAACGAAATATGATTTTCATGCCGACGCAGAAAAATTTTGCTTTATTATGAAATTTCTTTTTCGTTTTCTCGGCCTGTTTGCGTTGCGTACAATTTCCGTACGTTGCCTTAATTAAAATTACTCGTTTGCACATATTATTTTACTTCAGTTTCTGATTATTTTCAAAATTAAAATTAGCTACCGCGCAGAAACATCTGTTTGCCGCTCGCGTAATGAAACGATATTTCCGATCTCCATACGAATAATGCATTCATGTACCTCGGCGGGGTATTTATCGACGCCCTGCGGTCTCTGTAGGGTCAGCACAAAAGGCGTGTTCGCGCGCTTCAGTATCTCGTGGAAGGTCAGAGTAACCCCGCGTGGTCGTGTGAAAACGAAGTACGTCGATATTTCTCTCCCCAATCGGTTCAGATGATGGCCGAAGATCCTCATGTATCCGACCCCTAGCTGCACGAGCTCGAATTGCCGATCGACGACAAAGTGCCATGGGAACGCTTTGCAGAAACTTCCGACACCCATGCGAAGGTCCGAGGCCTCTGTTGAGAGTGGACGGAAAGGAGTCGCGACCGTGTCGAGGTTGTCGATCTCCGAATCGACTAATAAATGACCGCTGTAACGTTCTGGGATGATACAATACCTGCGAAACAAAAATCTCTTTTTAGTTCCGAAGTCTTTAGAGCGTGGTTGTTCGTCACAGTCACTGTGCTCGTCTGCTCGTTGGAAATTACTTAAAACGGCTTGGAAAATATCGTCGTTATACCTCCTCGCGAATCTGCAGCATCAGGAAAGAAAGTGCAACGTAATAGAAAGTAATATATTATTGAAATAGTAAGACGTTCGGCTAATGGAGATTCTATTACATTTCACAAAAACGGTGCTTCGTTGGAACGGTTGAAAGTTCCACTATGGAAATTCATCGAATCAATTTTTTGATGAGGTTCGACACTATTTTATTATTTCCATAATGTGGCCATCGACCGTTCTCTGTTTTTCTCAGTCGCGATAGGGGAATTGCAAACAGGTTGCTCGAGTTCCTACCATTCGATTCGAAAGATTCGTTTTAGGAAAACTTTTAATTGAATCGTACCGCGCACCAATTACGAAACTTGCCTCGAAATACTTTGCAGAACGATACTCTGCACGCGTAAATAGAGGAAAATCTGCACTTGAACGTATTTCTTTCCGCGCCAACGTATAATGAGACGCTCGGAATCAGAAGCGTTGCAGTGTGTGTTCGATGCACTTGCCTGTGAACATCGCCGTCCAATATTTGTTCACTTTATAGTCCCACGATTCCCGGAACATTTTCCGTGCTCGTGTAAATTGAATTCCTCTCGTGTAACACAATGTCGGCGTATGTGGTATCGATCGCGAGCGCAAACACTAAATATTGTTCTTTTCGGAGCAACATCAAAGTACACCGACGCGTATGTATAATATTTCCATCGAATCGATGATCAATCGTCGAACGGTCTGTTTGTAAAATAACGTTAAACAGTCCTTCGGATCAAATATCATTGTTTTTTCGTTCCTGTGCGCGAATTTTGTTCGAATAAAAGGATCGCGTTTGAAGCGAAATAGTAAAATTGCACTCAAGCTGTAAAAAGGGATATAAAAATAAAAATAACGTCGGCAGAGATGATACGAATCTCGAAACATGGAAAATCCATCAAAAAATAAGGCAAGAAGGAAACGAAATAAAACTCGTATGGATCTCTGAACATGCAGAGGTCCCGGGAAATGGAAAGGCCGATCGGGTTACAAAGGAGGTCGCACACATCTGACAAACCTCCAGAACAACTCCGTGGAGAATCTAATTAAGGACTCAAGAGATAGATTAATGCTTGGATGGGAAACCGTCTCAAGTATTGAGTATAAAAGAGGACGGCAAAAAACTAATTTCAAACAAAATAGAAACACCAGTCTGGATTTATCGAGCTCGATAAATTTAACGCGAGCAAAGCGTGTTCGGCTTACCTAAAAAATTTCGTATTATAAGGGTCAGGTTGAATGTAAACGTTCGCATTGTCGTTATAAAACTGCCTGGCGATGCCCTTCAAGCTGCCAACCAGCAAATGGGCGACTGACGGGTGGTCGGTTGTAAAGTGCAGTTCTATCGCTTCCGGCGTAGCGATGCACACGAACTCTGCCTCCGCTTCTGATCCGGACTGGTGTTGTACAACGTCGTTTACGCCGTCGAGTGTGGTCAGGAAGGCTGTCAGATCGTTCCCGAGGCAACGGAACGCTCGTTCGAGAAGACCAACGCAAGCGGTATAGATCAGCTCCTGGCCGAGGCGATCGAAAAACGTGCTCACGTCTATGTCTGAAAAAGTTACGCTGAATTAGCTTCCATCGCGTGGATTCCATCGAATCGCGATTATAAACGAAATTGATCTTTTTTCGGGAGAGGGATCGGGCAGGAGTCGACAAATTGCGGCGGAGATGTTGTTCTTCCATTTCACATCACAGTAAGATATCCGTTTTCGATGTTGAAACACTGCAATTTACTCTGACAGGGTTAGTTAGAGAACCTATGTTAATTAAGTACCTTCCCTTTTTTTGTTAAAGAGCACTATACGGTTTTAGAAGCTTGACAATTACGAATCTAGTAATAATATTGATACTGGGTCATAAAGCACCAAATGATCGGTTCCAGATAGTCTTGTAATATTTATATCCATGGGCAAACGGTTTGTCTACACTGTTTCTGTTTACGTAGAATTAAGGTTCATCTTGTATTTCACCGTTGACACAGAAAGTGTCCTATATTTCTTCATGGTCAATATGCTTACCCACCCGTTTCACATTTAACGCTGCAGAACCTGAACGAGGTTAGATCTATAGACTCATCAGCACTCCCATCCTCGCGGAATCTTCTACAGATGAGTATGTGTTTGGAAAGAGAGCTCGGGCATAGGTCAGACTGAATGAGATTTTGTCATGTTCACAACACACCTGTGATTTGTCATTTCCCGATCATCGCTTTTGCCACTTAGATCATTTTCTAAATTAGATTTTTCTGGATTTTTAAAGGCCTCGTTTCATTGTCGTGTCAAGCACTGTACGTTTTTTCTCTGTTAATTTTACCACCGGCGCGTTTACAGCGTTCAAAATCAGAGAAGACGCACAATTTAATACCTGTCATGTTACCATTAATGTACGACTTTTCACTCTCCTGTAGAATAGTTTGACTCTAGCTGCTACAACTAATTTAACTTCAAAAATATGTTCGCTACGAAGTTACACCAGTTAGTCTAAACTGATCAAACTGATGTAACTATTAGTTTAAAAGTTTAAATCGATCAGCTAGTTCAATTTACATCAATTTAGTTGCGTCAGTTATTCTGACTATTCTGTTTTCACAATATTTCGTCTAGTACGACTGTATATGTTACAGTAACAAGTTTGCGTACGTTCGAAGAGACGTTAAATATTTCAGAAATTGGAAAATGTTAGAAACTTTCGGGCATCGGTAAAAGAGAAATAAATTTAAGAAAGTCGTAACGATATACATCTTGAATTCTGTATCATAAAAATGAACAATTTCGAAAGCTAGTCTCGTAAATTGCAACCGTTTCTTCGTCCGTAAAACTGTTTCGTTTTCTAAATAAGAAAAATCAAGGCGCCTCTATAGGCTTTAGTTTGTTGATTACTGCTGCAGGGTCTCAATGTAGCTTTCAGCATTCATTTACGACCGAGCAAACGAATCCCTGGGACACGTAAGGAAACGTATCACAGCTTTTTATAGACGTCTAGAATGATATTTTTCTTCGGCGTGTGAAATTGCTTTACGAGAGATTACGTCCGATACGAGTTGGTCGAAGTTCCTTCGCCAACAGTTGCCTCCAGTCAGGATTTTCTAGTTTACACTTCGCCCGTTCGTGTTCCACGTTCACCATTTTATTTCGAACATTCAAAAACTCTCGGGTTCCGATAACTTAGTTACGAACGTTGTTACGTCCCGGTTGAACCATAGAACAATTTATTTATGGTATAATGAAGTCTGGAGAACACTGTTCCAGCATTTTCATTACTATTTGTGAGTCTCTACTATTGACTAGTGCAACGTAATAAAGCTGTCAATGTTAAATGCCTGTTGGGGAGAATATATTGGCCAAAGTCAATTCATTCGGAAAATATAGTCGAACTGACAGAAAACAGAATCGATCCTATAATAGATCTTGCTAAGTCGGTGGGAGGAACAGGTTTTGATGATATTACTATCGAAGACGTTGAAAAATTGCCGATAGAGAAAGAGCCAGATGAAACGGATTTAGTGGAAATGGCATCCGGAGTAATCCAAATAAATCCAGGACGAAAATTTTACGCTAAATCCTTTTAGGAAAAGCGTAAACTCTTTTTAATATAAACCAACAGTCTGTATGACTGAAAGTTTTATATTAATTTTTCATTAAATTTCTATTGATACTACGGAATTCATTTCCCTTCCGTTTAATTTTGTCTTTAATATAGTTTTTGTTATAGTACTACGTCATGGTAAACTTCCTATTCAAATCTATATTCGTGTTGAGGTAGTTCTAACAGGGTGATGATTGGTAACTTCCGAACCGGACGCGAGGGGAATTTCGAACCCCAAAAACGCACAATACACGACCTTTCGAACGATACCTAACTGGTCCATTCTAGGACACGTGCTCAGGATTTTTATTCTCATAATTGACACACAGAGTTTTATAGAATTATAAAATTGTTTAGTTCACTGACTCGGTACAACAATCCAATAAGAAACAAAAGAAACGTAGGAACGTCCTAGTCTTTCTAAAGAAAGAAGCCCTGGAAACCGTATTCTACGAGGGTTGCGTACATTCTTAAAATTTGACGGTCTCTAATGCTTTTTTCTAAAATAGAATCCGAAAGATTATTCAATTTTCAGGGTCGGTAACTCGCCCCTCGAGCGGAAGAAAATTTAATATCTTCGAATCAGGAAGCCCGTCTAATACTTCCCGATAGGGAAAAACAAGAAGAGAACGACGAACATAATACCGTTTCAGTTTCTCGATCGATGGACCCGTTCGTTTCAGTGCTCTGAATGGGATCCGTAATTCCGCTGACGAGGCAACCAGCGACGAATTACTCGAGTCCCTCTGGTCTCAGGAACGAAACAAGAAACCGAATGCAAATTTCGATCGTTACGTGTACGAGTGTTTCTAATCTCGCGAGGTTCGAAAGTCTTTTCTTTCTGGACAGAGTCCATATTTTCATTCAGCGACTCGTCCAGGATCAAGATCCGGAAGACGTTCGATAACCGACCGAAACGCGATTTCTAACTGTGTAGTTCCTCGTTCTTGTTCCGCCTAACCGCCCAGAGATTCCAACATCGAAAATCACCAACGTGCACGCTAAACGTCCTCCGACCCGGCGACGAAAGTTTACGCGGACGAGCTCGTCCGCGGTCGATAAACCGATGGATTCCAATCGTGATAAAGCAGCGGTTAGCTCCCTTGCAAATCCGGAAATCGACGCAGTCTGGCCTGGGTCGTTCTAATGTCCGCGCGTATTATTTCCCACCGAGTGTCACTGCCAGGACGCGATAATCGATAACCGTTGACATTTGGCTGTATAGCTGTATCCTAATGCGTGGAACCTACCTAACCCTCGCGCAATATTCGGGTCAATTTGACCCGAAATCGAGCTTCGATATTAACGCGTTGGCTTTGATTCATAGCGGACGAAGACCGAGTAATCCGGATATCGTATCGAGACCAAACAGAACTATACACGCTCGAGAAGTATTTTTCGCAGATCATTGTTATCTGAACATAAATAACCAGCAATAAGGATCGATGATTCGAGCCGATATTCCATAAAGAGAAGAAAAACTGAACGAACGCATTACTCGATCTAACACGAACAGGGGTAAACGTGCGTAAACACAGAAGATAAGGCGGCGAGAACGAAACGCCCATGAGTACGTAGTCGTTCGATCGTCTCCCGCGGAAAAAGGTTGCACGATTCTGCGTCCCGATTACTCGCATGATTTCGATGAAGCCGCTTGGTACAACCGATTCGAGAGAAAATTGATATTCACGCCTGATTAGATTGGGACAATGCGTCGGGATGGAACACTTTGGGAATCGATGCACCGTGCTCCTACCTACGGTTACATACATCGATGCACATTCATAGCGAGGATCCTGGCCGTGATAACTCGAACGAAATAAAACCAGAGTAGAAAGGATGCGAGTCTGAATAACTGGAATGAATAAGAAAAGTGCGTTGACAAATCCTGCTTCTAACTTAATAGATTGACACCCAAAAAGGATTCATTGGAAGATTTATATCCCGCGTTGGACAGCGACAATGATCTTGGGACGGATTTCTTTTTCTCGTACGGTACAATATATTGGACGTACAATCACGATTGTGTGCGATGCCCTTGCAAGTCAATAGTAGAAATGGTATAACACGCGCGCCTTTTCGAAGCGAAGTAACTCAGAGCACTCTCAGAGGCTCCATCATCGTCCCACGAGAAGTCCTTTTTGCGCTTGGTCGAATCCGAAGGACGATCTCGTGCTACTCTCGTGATACGATTCCTTTTTTCTTCTGATCGTTGGCCGTAATGGCAAGTGATCACGCTACGGGAGGCAAGACGTATCGCGAAGGTCCTCTTTTTCGAATATTTCGCATCTATCCATCGGCGAAAATGGTTGCTTCGACCACCTTGGTCTCGATTTGTTTTAAACAATGTTCGCGGAAGCTGGAAGAAATATTTCTGATGTACTCGAGTCCTTTTGTCGAAGCGTCGTATCGAGTAATGGTTTGTTAGGCCATCCGACGCAGATGATTCCACTTATAATTAAATATAGAGGAGTCGGATGCTGCGGGCAATATTGCAGTTAAATTCATTCCGGATTCTAACGCCTCGCGTATATAAAATAATTCGCTCAAAATGTATGATCAAAGTTTGAAACAAATGTCCGCGGGGATTCCTCAGACATAGGAGCACGTGCAAACTAGTTTAAATGCAGTTATGATATATCGTTCGCTTGAATTTTAAAGGATTCGGATGAACATTATTCGCCGTACGCTTCTATCCACGGTCGAGCAATAATTAATCGAAAACGTGGTAATTGTTTCTACTAACGATCACGTCCCAGTAATTAGCCGGTTGTTCTAATATTTTAGCAAATTTGATAAGTAAATTTTGTTGGGAATAACGGTGAATACGGAAAATTAAAAACATGTTCTCCCGTTTGTGTATTCATTATTTAATTCGTTAATAACTTCAGCGAGTATGAAATTACGAGATTATTTAATAACGCGAGAATAAACTGATTTTAACGGGATCGTCTGAAAGATATA